TCAAAGATCCCAAATTACCGATACTCGTGTGAGTTAGAGGAAATAAAATCACGTACAATTTGCAAATTAATTTTTTTTTCATTAAAATTAATTTTATTTAAATGTGTTTTTTTTTTTCAAAAAAATATTTCTATATGCTTGGATACTGATTCTGAAAACACACTTAACGGGAATCACAGGGTTTTTGTTACATAATGTATGTACACACATATATATATATATATATATATTTTAACTAGTACTGATCATTTCGAAGTTTTCATTCACAATGACGGTCCAGTAGCGCAGTGGCTAAGCTGCGACGCGACCGGCATTGAACACGTGTTTGTATTGCCTACTGTAATTATATGTAGAACGCATACATGATACAAGAGTAGATCCTTTTTAACCGTGGGGAAAACCTCATGGATATCTTCGGTTGCGGAAGCAACGGAAAGATTATTCTGAACGTATCGGCTAAAACACTTCGGTAGTCACCATCACGGAAGGCCTCGGGATCTCCGTTCGGAACGCAATCGGGGCCGCTCTTTCTTTGCGTTAGTGGAAGCACCTCCTGGGGGCAATATTTACTGCCTTCAGCACCCTCGCAGTGATATCACGGTGATTCAAGTCCACTTCCGAGTCACCGTGCTCCTCAGGGGTTACATTACTAGCCTTTCGGGGCCTCCGAGTGTCCGCATTTCCGTAGATCCCATTTCAGATCATCATCATCATTACAGCCCTTGACAAGTTCATTGCTGATAGGTCTTTCCCAAGAAATGCCACAAAGCATGGTCCCAAACCACCTGTATCCATCGATTTCCTGCAGGTCATACCAGGTTGTCACTCCATCTTGTTTTTTTTATAAAAGAGGGAGATCATTGTGTAAAGGTTAGAGGGTGCTATAGGCATAAACTGCTGCCCAATCTAGGAGGGACCAAGGGAGAAAGTTGCCTCCTGTTGGAGAGGGCTATGCTCGGGGTTTCTCTGCGTGATAAACTTAGAAATGGGGATATCTGCAGTAGAACCAGAGTGACCGACATACCCCAACGGATTAGTAAGCCGAAGTGGCAATGGGGTGGCTATATACCTAGAAGAACCGACAACCGATGCGAAAAAGGTTCTCGAGTGGCAGCCTCGTACCGATAGGCGAAGTGTAGGGCGACTCCTCAATATATTTATGATTTCATGAACGCACATCTCGTCAAAACTCACCATCTGGATGCTTGGCGGTCCACTACTGTGCATTTTAGTAGGAGTTTTCTTCCTCGTACAACTTCTATGTGGAATAGTTTACTACCGGCAATTTTTCCAGACCGATACGACTTAGGAACCTTCAAGAAAAGAGCTTACTCCTTTTTACAACGCACCTGCAATTCCTCTGTTTTTTTTTGCGCCCGAAGCAAATATTGCCTATATTTGACCCTCCAGAAAGCGGGGGGAGGGAGGTTGAGAATGCTCATAGCATACCACGCAGCCGGCTGCGTGGTTATTTGGTGACTCTTACCCACTAAACTCAACCTTTTAGGAATTGGCTTAACGATCTGACTAGAGATCTCTAAGCCGTATACGAACGCGACCCTCCTTGGCAGAAAGGAGGGCGCAAGCGGTGAAAAGCCGCTTAGAGGAGTGCCTTACTAAGGCAGATTAAGGGATGTGTTATGTAGGCTCGGCCTGAGCCGCCAGGAGGCAGTTCAGGTCAGCCGAAAGCTTGTTGGGGGGGTCCGAGAGAGAGTTTCTCGGTCTGCGCACACTATAGCGAGTGTGGATAGGGGCTGCATAGGCAGCTGTCTCACGAATGAGATGATTTGGGTGGTACTCTGATTCTTTGAAAAATCTCTCAGAGAGTGATTTAAGGAACTGCTGGATTGTTGGGAGCTCTAAGTCTCGATGTAGGTCGGCATTACGGACATAATAGGGCGAGTTAGTGGCCCTACGACAGAATAGATTTTGAACTATTTGAAGTTCATTTATAGCTTTGGGCTTAGCATGTGCAAAAATGGGGGCCGCGTAGGTCATGACAGGTCCTATGCAGACCTTATATAGGGTTCGCTTGTTGCGGAGGGACATTTTACTGTGTCTGCCCAACATGCTGTTGAGCCTACTCATGTAAAAACGTGCGGTGCGAGTAACCTTCTTGATATGGGGCTGGAAAGTGAGCCTTGCATCAAGGGTGACGGCTAGGTATTTGGCTTTAGTTTGCCATGGGACAGGGGTCCCTAACATCCTGATTGGCGGAGTGGTGGTGAGACGACGTCGTTTATATTCGAAGCAAACGGCGGAGCTTTTCTCCGGGTTTACGTCGATACGCCATTTTTGGAACCAAGCTCCTAAGTCGCTTACTGACTTTTGGATCTTGTTCCGAATCTGTGGTAGTGAGTTGCCTTTAGAGTAAAGGGCTGTGTCATCTGCAAAGAGGGCTAGTTTAACACCATTCGACGGGATAGGGATGTCGTTGGTGAATAGTATGTATAGGAGGGGGAGCAAGCACTGAGCCTTGAGGGACACCGGCTTTTATTTGACGAGTAGAGGATAGCGTGCCTTCGTGTCTAAAGCGAAAGGTACGATCCTTCAGATAGGAGGCTACAAGGCGAACGAGGCGGTCCGGGAGGCCTAAGTCGTACAGTTTGTAGTAGATAAGGCCCTCGTGCCAGACTCTGTCGAATGCCTTGGCAATGTCAAAGAAGACCGCGATGGTTTTTTGACGGCGAGGATAAAAACCGCTGAGGATGTATTCCACTATGCGGTGAACTTGCTGGGGGCACGAGTGTTTGGCTCGAAACCCGAATTGTTGTGGGATGACAAGAAGGTCGCCGTCTGTGGGAAACAAGTGGCGCCTCAAGCGCACGAGAATAACTCGTTCGAAAAGTTTGCCCATGGCCTTGAGGAGGCTGATGGGACGGTGATTGGAGGGGAGGTGGTGAGGTTTGCCTGGCTTGGGAATGCCAATGACAGTTGCCTCTTTCCAAGAGGTGGGAAAGTAACTGAATTCGAAGCAGTCGTTAAAGATAATACCAGCCAGTAAGGCGATTACCTGCTCCGGGAAGTGTGTGAGGGCTTGGTTGGAGATACCATCCGCACCCGGTGCTTTTTTGGGCTTAAGTCCTTTGATGGTAGATGAAATCTCATGATGAGCTAGGAGAGCATTGAGCGGCGACGCTGTCAGCGAAGCACTCAGCCTTTTCTTCGTCCTCGAAGGCAATGGAGCCGTCGGGAGAGGAGAGAGAGAGAGAGAGGGGGAGTATGCGTTATAGCGTCTATCCGGAGGGCTCTCGCCATCCGGTAGTACGCTGTGTGGGAGGGAGAGATTTTCTCCATGAGATTGCCCTTTTCGTGGTCTCTGTAATCTTGGAGGCGGTAACGCAGTTTGCGTTAAAGGCGGTAGGCCGCGAGTCTCTATTCGGGAGTGGGAATTCCTCTGATGTTGCGGTTGTTCATAGGCGGCGGTAGTTACTTACCATCAGGTGAGCTGCATGCTCGATATGGATAAAATAAAGGAAGACCACAAACTACTCCTGCAACGTCAGAAAATGATTCTAGAGCAAGCGTTTTTTATTTTTATTTTTAAATATATTATTTCATTCATTTAATTACACATTACGTAACGGTACAATCATAAGTTTCTAGAAACTTTACCGTGTACCGGTATCACCGACACTAACAAATATGAGGATGTAGTAAGAAAAAAGAAATACACTTAGTATTTATTAGTTAATTGCGTGACCTATTGCATAATGCACCGCGCATGGATCCTATATAATATACAGGGCGCTTGTTTTAGGGCGTTATCATAGTATTTGTTATTAAAACATATTCAGCCCTATTAATAAACACAGAATTTATCGAGATTAACTTTACTCCCAGTTTAAAGCTTCATCATCATCATCATCATCATCATTACAGCCCTTCACAAGTCCACTGCTGAACATAGGCCTCCCCCAAGTAATGCCACAAAGCACGGTCCTGAGCCACCTGCATCCATCGGCTTCCTGCATATCTTATCAGGTCGTCACTCCATCTAGCGGAGGGTCACCCTACTCTTCGCCTACCGGTAAGAGGCTGCCACTCGAGAACCTTTTTTCCCCATCGGTTGTCGGTTCTTCGAGCTATATGGCCGGCCCATTGCCACTTCAGCTTACTAATCCGTTGGGCTATCACTCTGGTTTTACTGCGGATATCCTCATGTCTGAGTCTATCACGCAGAGAATATGTTCTTTCCAATTTAGGCGACTATCTATCACGAGTCCGAAGTAGGCCTGTGATTCTACCAGGTCTATGGTTTCGCAGTTATATGTCATTTGGACCTGTCGTCTGTGAAGGCATTGGTGGTCATGCGCGATGATTGAACGATGCCTTGTTCGTGCCTGCGCGTACACAGCTCGGAAACCATTGAGTTATACAAAACTAGAGGAGCAAACCACATTACCGCGCGTCGAAAAAACTGTAACCACTATCCAACCGCGACGACGTAGCTTTGAAATTACTAAATATTTTAAATAAACATATATCTGTCTCACTTACACAAGTTGCGAAAACAATACCGTCGCTAAGATTAGATAAAGATAGACACGGCCAAAATACGCAATCAATCAATCAAAAATATGCAAAAAAAATCTTTTTGTCGATCTTATTTGCATTTACCAAGTTATCAAAGTGATTTTTTTTATAATTGAATGGTTTATCTAATTCTGTTATCGCCACCTTGTTACTGTAATGTTAGTAATTATATATTTTGAGTTTGAATTCCTATCATAATTCCCGTCCGTTGAGACTAGCCACCGTGATCGAAGTTCGGTCTGAAGGACATTATTATACGTGATGGTTTCTTTTTATTGACATTTTCCATATTACATATGGTTTCTTTTACGGCACCACCACGCGGCAATAATAGTTCATTAAACTATCGAAAAGTATGAATAATTACTCTTGTTATAATATTATAAAAATTCAAATAGTTAATAGTGTTATTTTTAATGAGAAATGCCCTTCTTTGTAATACTTAATGAATGTATTTGTTCCAGACTTTGGAATAATATAAACAGTCATTTATCGAACGATGCAAGGCTGCGGTGCGATCTTGTTGATCTCTATTTCACGTTATATGGACTGAAGAGGCCGATATGTGTGCCTTTGCCCGAGATACAAGCTATGATGAAACAGATGCACCACAAGGAGAGAGAGAGGCTAGAAAGAGAGAGGGACAGAGAGAAGGAACGCGAAAGGTTGAGGGAGTTGGAAGCGAAGCCAGTTATCAAACAAGAAGTGGATGACGTGAGTAAACAGGTTTCTATATAAGCCTGCTTAGCCATTTATTATTATTATTCGGATTTTTTGTAGTATTTTCGTCTGAGCAATTAATAACATATGTTGAATATGTTATTAATACCAAATAAATAAGGTAAAATAAATAAATACGTAAATAAAAACCCAACCAGATGGAAGCCCTCGGCATTAAGGCAAGGAGACTGACCAAACGGCCGAGGGTACTGACCAAACGGCCGAGGGTTAGGAGGAAAGGTCGATGTGGACGGTATCGGGGAGCACCTCCTTTTGCATTTTAGTCCGGGGGTATCCGCCACCTAGTCTCAGTTGCTTCAGATGACCTGAGAGTCTGATTGGGATTTCCAGAAACGCCTACATGTATATTATTATTATTTAAATTTTATTGCAAAAACCTTCAACTAGCGGATACCAAAGGCGGAGTTAAGCCTTACGGCATTCATTATCAGTCAACCCCATTATGTGCGAATGGCCATGCCCTTTTTAAAATTCCAGCATTTTTCTTCATTACGTTGTTAAAATTTAGACATTCAAGTAATAGCGTTCCTTATCATGACATTAATTAATGGCAATACGCGAGATTGTTTCGTCATTTCCGGGCAGAGGAATATTATTTCAAACCGGTTTTAGATTTAAAAAACGACATTTAACAAACGACTTTTATGCATAGTAGTGCCACGCTGAATTTTAATCCTGCCGTATTTGCATGATTACTAAAATCAACAGTAATAGGTTATTTTTTCTATTAAAACATGCTTAACACGTTTTAAAAATTAATGAATTAATTCCTTTTAGATTATAGTTGCCAAATAGAATTGGGAGAAATACAATATTTCGTAAGACATTTTAGATGCACTTGCGACTCATTATGGTAATTTCAGGAATTTCTGGAAATCCACCAAAAATTAAAAGCTCGACCTGGCCTACTAGTGCGAATGAGCTCGGGCCTACATATAGCGAACTTTTTCAAGCAACACTTTATTATGCAGTCCCCTTTTAGGCCGGCAACGTCGGTGCCCGATGCTGAGATTATATTACGAGATAAAATACATATGAACACGTTAGTGAATAGTAAAACTGTCGCTAAAATTATACAGTCCATGATTAAAGGCAAATCACCACGCCATGATAGTCTCAGCATCGAGCATCTACAGAATGCGGGACCTCACCTCTTTAGAATGCTTGCGTTGGTTTTTAATTTGTGTTTAGTACATTCTTGTCTACCACTAGACCTACGATGACAATGAAGAACAAAACAGGTTATGTGACGAACAGATCGAATATCACTACTTGTGTCTTCGATTGAGAATCAAAATGCAGATGCGTCGTCACCCCAGAGGATTAAGATGAAATGCCTCGTGTCTAGTAAAAAGATCTCCGGTTTTCTACTCTACTCACTATATGAACACAGCAGCATTAAACTGCTATTTCACGTTGGTGTGCTTTGAAAGGGTGGTCCTTCCTAGATCAAACCAACCCATTGGCTGTGGCACGACGGCCATAAAAAAGCTAGAGCGTTGCTCTACCACGTAAATAATCTCTTAATTTTTTACATTCATTATCAATTTTGTACAATTATGCATCTTGTAGAAGGATGTAACACTTGACGGGTCGTAAGAACTGACTAATCTGCATGCAGTCTGAATTTTGGCATGCCGATAATCTTTTTCGATAGTAACTTTTTGAGTCGTAACTTGTTTGTTTTAATTTCTTTAACTAGTGCGATTGGATTGTGAAAAATCTATTAAATAGATTACAGCGATAAAAGCTTACTGTCAGGAAATAACAGAATGTAGAAAATTCCATCTCACGTTACATACTAGTTACTTGGTAGTTAGACATATGGAATCAATCACAATAAATAATAAAAATTATAACTATCTCATTGGCTTAATTAACCGACATCTCAAAGAAAGTAAAATTATCGATAACTTTTTTTATATGGATAATATAATATGGATTTTAAAAATTATGGTGTCTGCATTTAGCATAGTATTATTACCATGATGATAACTAAAAATTTAATAAGTAAATACAAAATCAATAAATTAGAAATAATAAAGTAATTTCCACATAAAATGCAGCATTTAAATATTTATACAATTTAATTATTTGATTATTTTAAGTGGACTAAGGGTTTTTACAACCAAAGGGTAACAAACAACCTCGTCCAATTAGTTGTGTTCGGGCCTCCACCCTTCAGGGTAGTCTCTTCTTTTTATTAATAATCGGTTAAATCGAACAATCTATCTAAAGCCTTCTTTGTTTGAAGCCGATCTCAATTGTACAGTGCAGATGCCCATAAACTGAAGTAGATATTACCATAAGGTGGACTATTAGTTCTTCGGTCACTTCAGTCTTACAAAAAACGACGATCTCTTCTTCCTTTCTAATCTTAGAACATATATATTACACAAAGAAATACTGAAAATAAATGTTGTCTTCTTGATCCTTAATTAATAGCACTACTTTTGTTAACGAAGGATAAGCAGTCCTCCTAATGCAATCAAACATGTAGTATGTTCAAATGTAAGACTGATCGACCGACGATTTTGTCTGTGACATACGGTAGTAAAGCAGGCACACGCTCGACTGTAGCCGGATTCACTCTGTCACTGTGACGTAGACACGGGACCCTAAGCTTGTTGTCGTGCAAAACTTGTGGGACATGCTATTGCTCAACGACCATTTACTGTCTCACATCCCTTGTGTCTCTGAAATTAAGATTTTTCCCTTGTAGCTAACTATGAAGACCGATTTACACTTCAACAAGTACAGTAGCGAGTTTAGTTACAGGAAAGTTGACAGTAAACGGTTAAGTAGTTTAGAACATTAATTAGTTCATAGAGTTCGTTGGAGTATGACGTTTCAAGACTACAGAATTTTTTCTGGTTTTCGTTTAAGATGGTTCTAGAATTACGTCTAGAATTAAATGATCCAGTCAGAGAAGTATTAATGGTTGTTGTTAAAGAAGTTTTTAAGAATTTTCATGAGTGCAGCATCTCGAGCAGGTTTAATTTTACAATTTGAACTTCTACTATTATATAAACATTCGTGTTCTAAATACTCCTGTACGAATTTATACGTGTTATCTTCCGTCCATTTTATTATTAAAACTCAATATAAAACGTATTCAACGTATTCAATAAACACTATCGTACAAACTTTGTGGCGAGTTTCATTATAAAAGTACAATTGTACATTTTGGCGCGCAAACGTTGCGTCCTGTCAACTTATGCACTGAACTAAACTCGCTCCTTTACACGAGCTGCGAGTTTAGTGGCGGGCGGAGACGCGCAGGAGGGCAGCACTTCGCACTTACCTCGCCGAAAAATTGCTCGGCCGGCTATCCCGTTTAACTTAATCGTTAACTTGCTACTTAACTCTCTTATTCAAGGATCTCCTAGGTGTGCGTTATTTGTAGTTAGCAGTGGCTGCAAATAACCGGTACGACATACTCCGCCGATCGTTGAGTCCCGTGATTCCGTGAGGCGTCGAGGTCACCGGCCCGGTGATTCTTGGCACTTTATGCGTTTCGTGCATTTGTGCCCAGGTGCCACCATCGCACTTCCCCCAACCCTTTTATTTGTAAAAGGGGTAGGCAGTGCCCATAGTGAGGAAAGCCGCTTACTATTTATCACCATCGTATATAGATAGGGCCTTCAGAATACATCTGACGGTGTTAGGTTAGACTACATCATGTCAGGTAGGGACAAGGGGGAACCTCCACCTCCAATAAGAAAACCACCGGACCGAAAGGGTGTGTTGGATCGACCACTGATTGTGAGGGATCTGGCGAATCCGGAGCGCACAAGAGTTGTGTCATCCTTCTCACAGATCCTCCAAAGAAACCCCGTCTTGCCGCGGAAAGAGCCCGCACCGGGCGTCGCGCTCACGCCGGCCGTGTCTGAGCACACGGTTAGGCGGGAACCGTCGCCCCAGCAGCGGGGTAAAGGCTAGACGTCATACGCCTCCGGAAACCGAAGCCTCCTTACACGAAAAGAGGCAACGGATTGGCTCCCAGCTATCTTCCGATGAATCACCATCCACATCGGAAGATGAAGAATACCACCAGGTGTCAATGAAGAAGGTGCTCCGATCACCTCCGAAGTCACCCTCTCCGCCACAACCCCCACCGCTCCATATCACCGGATCGGCGAAGCCATGATTCGGCCCAGTATGAGCAGGGGGGCGAAGAATCTTACAGCTGGGGGTCAACCACCTATGCAACCCTCGCAGCATCCGCCGGCCGTACATCGCCGGTGGCAACAACCAACCCGTCCGGGCTTCCGCAGGATGATGGCCAACGGCCATCTACCAGCTATGCCCATATGGTAGCTGCACCAGCAGTACCACGACCACAACCGGCGGCTGCTCTGGCGACCAGGAAAAAGTCAGATATCCACCCATAGTCGCTGAATGCCTACCGGATTGGACGAGGCGTTTTAAAGAGCTCAACAGAATGTTGGGCCACCCTTTAAATGCCCGTCCATTCGGGAAAGGCGTACGGTTCACACCTCAGAGCGCCAACGAATTTAGAAATGTTCAGCGATATATGGTTGAACTCTCAAAGGAAATACCAACATCGTCGTGGTATTGTTACATCCTGGAGGAGTACAAGCCCACTAAAGTGGGCATCCGGGGTCTACCAATAGGCACGGACACCAAAATAATAGAGGAGGCTATTAGGTCTAAAGGCTTCCCCGTCAAGTACGTAAAAGCAATACCACCTCGTAGGGGCAGACCTGGCTGCATCTACTTTGCCCAATTTGACCACCTGAGCCTGGAGCAGCTCCAGGATCTTTACAAAGTCGACGAACTCCTCTACATGGGAGGGGTCGTCATCGAGGCCTGGCAGAGAAAAGCAGGACCGGCTCAATGCCACCGATGCCAGGCCTTCGGGCCGCCTCCGCCAACTGCTTCAGGCCAGTGAGGTGCGTGCGCTGCGCCGGGGAGCATATTGCGAGCCTTTGCCCTCGGGGTAGAGAGGA